AATTTAGTTGACAAGTATCTTATTTTGTCAATGCTTTTGTAGTTTATTACTTTCTATGTGAAGTCTTTCATGTTTCTTCCACAGGTTGACTCCATAACTAAAACTAGGGATGTCCAGATCCAATCATGTTATCAAAAATTGGCCCCATTACGTTTCAGACTCGATTGGGATCAGACGTTACTTCCCGATCTGGACTCAGATGCAAGGTTCCATTTGTAGGGGAGCTGAGGGGAACCCAGTTCTCCTGAAAGGCTGATGGGCTCCTCTAGAAGTCCTCAATTTACACATCTATAGCAGCCCCCCCAAAATATCATGTTTCTGCATATATCACAGGTGAATTCATGTGCACTGCAGGTAGCTGTGTCCTGTGCAGTCACAGTAACATACTCAAAGTGGCGCCACCCCAAAAATATAATTAACACAGGATCGTTGATGTCCGCTCATATTCTCTGGTACGTAACCTTTTATTAGTGCCATGCTCCGGTGATTTCATCTCACTAGTGAGGCCACGCAGCATGCACTGTGCTATTTTTGCGGTCGGTAAATCTTTTTGATCTGCTTAGTTAGTACTTAAAGTGGCTCATGAGATGAGAAAGGAGAAAGCCAGGCAGCAGTTTTTCTGCAGGATTGAGAAGAGATGCAGGAAGATAAGAGACAGACAGGACAGAAAATTTGTCAAAAAAAAAAAAAACTAAATTAAGTTCTTAAAAAGTAAAAGGAAGTTAGAATTATCTCACTACACGTATTTACCCGTATAAAACAATAATTTACAATTTTTACATATTTGATACAAATATATGAATGTGATCACCTTCAAAACTGTGAGCCACACCCAGGGCCGTATCAGGGCATTTTGGGGGCCAAGGCAAAATAGACTCCTTCTAGGCATTTGAAGGTGCTATTTGTTTTTATGTCACACTTTTTATTTTTGCGATAAAGTTCAAAAGTGAAGAATTTGTTATTTATTACTTTATTATTCAAGATGCCTCACAAAAGGGTTCTGTTTGTTAACAGAATGGTAAATGGCCTGTATTTAATATAGCACCTTCTAGAGTCCTGAAACCCCCAAGGTGCTTTACAACACAATAATTTACCCATTCACACACACATTCACACACTGGTGGTGATGAGCTACACTGTAGCCAAAGCTGCCCTGGGACACACTGACAGAGGAGAGTCTGCCATACACAGGCACCACCGGTCCCTCCAAACACCACCGGCAGGCAAGGTGGGTTAAGTGTCAGACGGGACTCGAACCTGCAGCCTTGCGATTACGGGGTGAGCAGTCAACTCCTGTGCCACAGATCTGAAGCTCACCCAAACCAGAGACTCCACTCCTTGGCTCCACTTGGAAATTTAAAACTGGATTCAGTGGTAGAATAAAAAAAAACGTTATTTTTTTGTAACTCATTACTGACAAAGTGTGTGTGTGGGGGGGCATTCACTTTGATTATTTAGGGACCAAAAAACTCCTATTAAGGTGCAGTTACATTTGAGTCCCATTGTAATAATTTAATTATTGTCATTCATTCATGAGAAATTAATATCTGACCAGATGCACTAGGTGTACTTTCTCTAAATTAGCTGCTAAATACAACACTATTAAAATGATCTTATGAAGGAGTAAATGAGTAGTTCACATACAGATACCACTTTTCTGGAAACCAATAAAATGCTGGCATTGGCACTCTTTCATTACCTTTAGCATGCATAAATCAGTCTGAAATCTGTGGCTTATTTTGCCACTAAATTACAGTCAAGAGCACCTAATATCCAACGACTGAAACGTTTTGTAGAAAATGTTCATTTCTGCTCAGAATTCAGTGGGGATCTTGTATTAACACTGACATGGTTCATAAGCTCTCAGCAACCAGAGTGGCACTTTAGATGACTTATGTTTATTACCCTGCAGGCCTGGAGCTTGAAAGGTGCTGGACTTTAGATGTTATGCCGAGAAAAGCCCCCAAAGTGCAGGTAAATACAGCGATGTGAGCAGTATTTGCAAACATAGCCTGAAGTCTGATGCGTCTCCCGGACTTCTTTTCAATCAGGGTTTGTATGCAGTTTATTTATTTATTTATTTGCATAATCTGCCCTATAAAACTTTCTTTTGGTACCAGATTTATTTCAGTGCTGCATTTAATTCATGAAATAAAAAAAAAAAACATCTCTCACCGACATCATATTCAGCTCCTTTCACTGTAGAGAGAAGGATAAAAATGTCTCCAGTGCCTTCTGGAGACATTTCCTTCCAAGGTCTTCATTGGAGACGTTCCCTTCCAAGCGCCTCATGATTTTTATCTTGAGAGGTGCTATAGAAATGATATTTTCTTCTTCTTCTTTTTTTCTCAGACGGTTGCAACCCGGCTCATGAGACTGCAACATAAGGTGGGAGGCAGGACACATGGTGTGAGTTAAGGAGTATTTTTATCAAAATTTTGTCTCCAAAAGGCCTCACCAAAAATGCCACACAGGCAAGAGCTCCCAAAGGTGCTCCCTCTGATCAGTCTCATCTTTTATGGTATCCGTGGGAAACAAGTGCAATGTCTCCATTTTGGAGATGATTTGACATTTCAGGTCCTAATATGCTGAAGAGTCCAGCTATTTCCATTAGATCACACTTAGGACATTCCTTGATCTGTCCACGCGAGGGCACCTCTAAAAACTTCTCCCAATTGAACATGTTTAAGGTACCTGGTCACCAACAGACAAAACAAACCCGATCACTACCAAACACAAACTGCATTTACTGTTCTCAATGAATTATAAGGGAAATATATCCCGGACAAGCCCCCTGCTCTTATATTTGTCCAACCACTTTAAAACCAAGACTTATTACATCTTTTTAAAAGTTATCCTGTGAACATTTGCAGTTGTTCAGGATCAATCATAAAAAGGCACTTTTGTATTGTACTTTTGTTTTCATAGTTGTCATTATGTTAAAATGAAATAAATCACTATGTTTTCAGGAGTATTTTTGTTATATTTTCTCTTTTTGATTTGTCTAGTAACATCTGTAGTTGATCTGTAATCCTGAGTTCAAATAGCCCCTAGTTTATGAGGCAGAACCCTTTTTATGGTAGAAACCTTTTGAGTGGGCAGAGCCTTTCAGCAGTAGGAATGACTTTTTCTCTGGACGGCATACGTTGAACAGTCATGTCTTGGAGCATTTATCATAAGGAAAGCCTTTCTAAGCCACGTTCAGCCACTTCAGGATTTTTGGAGGCGAACCCTTCAGTGCATTTTACCTTTCTCAGAGTGGAATATGACATGCATCTATTGGAATGGAAGAAAGAGTTGTGTGATTGGGCACAGCATGTCTCTACTTATTCACCACTAAGCTAGGCGATTCAAAGTGGTTATAATGACAGCCCAAACAGGGAGTCTTGTCTGGGAATGAAGATAAGGCCAGGCTGACTGTGTGTGTGTGTGTGTGTGTGTGTGTGTGTGTGTGTGTGTGTGTGTGTGTGTGGTGGTGGTGGTGGTGGTGGTGGTGGTGGGGGTGGGGGGGTGGGGGGTGGGGGTACAAGGTACAAGGAGGGTTACACAAGAACAGACGGGAAGGCGAGCAGGCAAGACAGATGGACAGAGAGAACAGACACAGACAGATGGAGGAAAAGAGGAGGAGGAGAAAGAGATTGCATAATAGCATCAAAATGGCCATGATTGCTCACTGAAGCATAATTCAAAGTATGGCACCCATCACAATTTATCTATTTTTCGTTCTTTCATTTTTCATGACCCCCCCTCTTTCTGTGTGGTCTTCCTCTTTTATATGCAAAAGAGGAAGAAATCTAATTTATTTTTTGAACATTTTAAATAGCAGAGTTATATAAAATGTAAAAGTGATAAAAGTCGTTCAAAAAGGTCAATGCAGACGGAGTTTAGAGACTGTCAAAATACAGAGCAGAAAACAAATCGGCTACTTAAACTAAACAGTCAGCCAGAACTGAAGCAGTTTGGTTAAACTGGTGAGAACAGTTTGTTCCATCAGACACAGAATCTGCAAAAGGTCGATAATTCATCAGGCAGTTTGAGTCAGACGTGTTGATGGAGCAGACTGGTCTGTTGCGTGAACACTAAACATGAGCGTTGTGTTGGTAGAAGAAGAAGAAGAAGAAAATATCATTTCTATAGCGCCTCTCAAGATAAAAATCACAAGGCGCTTCCTAAGAACAAACAAATGTAAAAAATATAAAAAATTATTTAGAATATGGTTAAAATATTTTAAAATGAGCAAAAAATAAAAGACAATTGTGATTAAAAAACAAAATGTTAAAGGAGACATAACATGCTTTTAAGTTATTCCTTTTTACATCTAAATCCTTCAGTTGGGGTCTAAATACAGTGGAACTGCAGTTCTTTGGTCTGATTTCCTCATTATTGTTGCTCTACAGACCCTCATCTACCCCTGTTCTGAGGAGAGTCTTGAGAACGAGCCGTTTTTGGGTACTGTCTCTTTAAACTGGAGGAGGAGCTGTAAACTCCGCCCCCCTCCATAGTGCAGACCTGTACTCTCCTCCCCCAGTCGGACTTTGTAGTTCTATAGAGAAATCATTATTTAGCATAGCAGATTTAGCATAGCATATTAGCATTTTTAAAACATGTGGGGAGAGTAGTTCATCAAGCTGTTCCAAGGCTGCTAACTCTCTCATGCATTTGTCTGTAGTCACTCACACACACCCGTCACGGCCGACGGAGGGACAAGCTAGCAGGCACGTGCGCGCGCACACACACACACACACACACACACACACAAGGAATGCTGCTTGCTTATTTATTTCTATAAAAAATGTTTTAAAAAATGATACAGCTCATTAAAACACCATTAAAAGAATACATTTTTTTAAGATCTCTATCTATATATATACATACATATAATTATAAATAATTTTATAAGTAGTCTTATTTAATATTGGGTGTCTTAATGGCTGAAAATGGATAAAAAGCAGTTACATTTTAATTTAAAGATTTGAGATTCGAGTCAAAAATAAAGAACATTCCTCCAAATGTTCTTTAATGTGATCATTATAATTCTAATGCTTACAACTTTGTTTTTATTGTCTGCAATGCGTAGCCTATATCTTTATTAAATGTGTTTAGCTGTAAAGTGGTAATTCTCTCTAATGTGTACAGAGAGGTGGACATCAGTGCTGCAGTGAAATTCCCAAGATCAGTCTGCTTTGCTAACAAATATAGTTAAATCTTACCTGCATTCTAAATAAATACCGTTAGGTGAAAACATCAGTAGGCATTGAGTTATTGATACAATCCCTAACAGCCAGAATGGAAGAAGAGCATGCTGGGTCATCCTGGACCTGAGCCTGTTCTGTGTATTTACCTACAGGATGCAATAAATGTCTACAAGGCTGAGTTTGGACCATTACATCTAAAAGAAAACATACAATCAGTGATTTTTTTTAATTGTTTACATTAATATACAAATTTTCTAAGTATTAACCTCACAGCAAATAAGTAGAACAATATAATAAACAGGCTTTAGTAGTTAAAACAGGCGTTGTGCACACAGGTGCTTTGTGTCTCGGTGCTGGTGGTGTCTAGGTCTCAGAGTTCCTGTCCTCCTGCCGTCTTCTGTTGTCCTCAGGATACGGATTGATGTTTCCTGATGATGAGGGAGGGGCAGTATGTGGGCTTCAAACTGGTCCTGGATAACAGTGGGAGACCTCCGTTGTCTGAATACTGAGACCAGAGAGTTGGTGAGATGCAGATCTTCTCTACCTCATCTAGAAACGGAGTTGGTTCAGGGAAAACTTTTCCAAAGACCAGTTCCATGATGTCATCGTCATATTCTGCAATGATAGACAATTACTTTAATGACATATTTTGTTTACAAGCAGCTTTAGGAAAGTCGTTTCTTTAGCTTTCATGTTTATAGTCACGTTTGTGTTTGTTCACAAGTTCACTTTGCTGCAGTGACTTCATATTCTTACAAATGTAATAAAATAGTGACACTAAAATTATACAAATGATTCCTTATGAAAGGAAGCTCATTAGAGAGCAGTGCAGACAGACTTACTACTCTATTAAATCCACTGTGTTGACGCACTTTAATGACTTTGTCACGCTGCATTTTAGCTGATATGGGACTTTATTTACTGGATGCTAAGATTACATCACACTCACGTAGAATAACACACAGGCTCTCTGCTGTTACAATCAGTGGGAGGTTATCATCTGGTGTAAAAGAAGGCGTTGATCAGAAATCACGTTTTATTCCACGAAAATCAGCCAAATCTGCATTAATCTGGGTGCTAACTTTACTAGCATACTGTGCTAGCGATAGCAAGCCGGATGCTAACGCTTTAGTGCTGCTAATGCCCGTAAATCTAAAGTAAAGTTTGTCGACATTTTAGAGTGATATGAAGCTTACCGCTCTGCTGCTGTGTCCCGGTGCTGCCACATTCAGATAAAAATGACTCCTTTTAGATAGATGAAGCCCTCAGTACTTACTAGCCTGAAGACACGAAAGAACGAACCACGCGCGCGCACACACGCACACACACACACACACACACACACACAAACACAAACACAAACACACTACTTTTTCTTCTGTGTTTTTTTAGCAGTAGTGTCATCAGCTCCTGGGTTTAAATACTGCCACACCACCCTTCCTTAAAACGAGGAACAGTTTTGAGCTGTGTGTGGCTAAAATAACCAGACATTCTGCATTTTTCCAATAGGACTACAAAAAATCTTAGCGAGAAGAAAAAATGGCGGATTGGCTCTGTGTTTAGCCGAGGGCCATTACCATATTTGGTAGTTATCCTCACTAAATTAATTACTGATGTAATAGATTATGTAAAAACTGAACGGGTGGACAAATATGCCCAAAACTTAATTATTAAATATCTAAATAGCAACTCCAGTGAATAATATAAGCCTTTTTGCTCACTTAGATACTTAAAATGTGAAACACACTGTGTTAATGGATAAAAAAGTGGGTTTTTCATGTTATGTCTCCTTTAAGAAAGAGAGAGAGTGAATAGGAAAGAGGGAAATCAGTGGATCCTGAGGAAGGTGGAATAGGTGGGGAGAGCAGAATAAAGAGAGAGTGGTGAAGAAGGTCACACAAAAGCCAGCTTGAACAGGTGAGTCTTCAGCTGCTTTTTGAAGGAGACCACTGAGTCCACTGATCTCAGGCTCAGGGGGAGAGAGTTCGAGAGTCTGGGGGCCACAGCAGCAAATGATCTGTCACCTTTGGTCTTCAGCCTGGTGCACTGCACAACCAGTAGGCTTTGATCACTGGACCTCAGGGACCTGCTGGTGGTGTAGGGACTAAGAAGATCACCAATGTAAGATGGTCCTTGTCCATGTAGGGCCCTATAGACCAGAACCAGGATCTTGAAATGAACCCTGAAGTTGACTGGCAGCCAGTGAAGCTGGAGGAGAAGCGGGGTGATGTGGGTGTGTTTGGAGGACTTGGTCAGAAGCCGAGCAAAGGCATTCTGAACTTCTCTCTCTCTTTTATTATATCTTTACTCATTTTAATCCAGTGTTTCCTCTGTAGGGGCCCTCTGCCCCGGGAGAGGTGGTCGGCTGTAGCTTCCTGGGTGCTCTATAGGTGGGGTCTATGCTCCTCCTCCACTGAGCGCCTTAACTTAGTGTGGAAGACCTGATGCTGCCGGGGCAGACGGTTCCTCTGATGGCGTTCCCTTGTCTTACCTTACTTGGCTCATCTGGACTCAGCCAAATATAATTTTTACTTGTGTGTGTGTGTGTGCGCGCGCGTGCGTGTGTGTGCTTGCATATGTCTGTTAATGTTTTTAACCTGTTAGGGGAATCTGGGGTCATTTTGTGAAGCACTTTGAGTAGCACTTTGTTTGAAAAACACTTTATAAATAAATCTGATTGATTGATTGATTGAACCACCTGTAGACAGTTCAGGGAGGTTCTGCTCAGACACGTGAAAAGAGAGTTACAGTAGTCTAAGCGTGAGGAGATGAAGGTGTGGATAACAATCTCGAGTTCAGAGCGGGACAGAATGGGACTCAGCTTTGCAATGTTTCTGAGATGGAAGAAGAAAGAGCGAACAAGAGAACTGACATGATAATCCAGGGTGAGAGCTGGGTCAAAGGTCACGCCAAGATTCCTGACGGAAGGTTTGGTGTGAGAAGCAAGCTGGCAAAAGAAAGTCTCTGACTTTGGGAACCAGCTTGTCTGGGGCACAGATGAGGATCTCAGTTTTATCTTCATTCAGCTGTAGAAGGCTCCCAGCCATCCAGGTTTTGATAGAGTCTAAGCAGGTGTGTAACAGCTGCAGCTTAGACATCTCATGGGGCTTAAAGGAGATGTACAGTTGGATGTCATCTGCATAAAGATGGTAGGAGATTCCTTTTGAAGGAGCTCAGGATGTGCTGAAGATTTTGGTACCGACTCAAAACTCTGGAGATGTGTGAAGGTACAGATAATCACCAAAAAGCCAAGGACAATGATGCAGCACTTACCTTGGTGACACAAGGTGACCAGTCTGTTGCTGCAGAGAGCAGCCAAACAGGGCAGGATACAGAGTCTTATTTCCTAATATTTGGACATCTTGCCTCTGATTGGATAACACCAACGCGATTCAACCACTGACTTGCAATGTGGATGTTTCATCCCCAAAAAAAAGCACAAGCCTGCAGGAGTTTTTGTGTGTGGTGATGTTGCTAATGCTAACGGTTAGCTTCTACTATTTGGTATGTTCTCTGCTGATTCCTGGATGCTAAACCAACAACAGCAGTCTTCACCATTGTGAGTCAAGATGGGTGAATTTGTGAATGTTAAGTGATTATAGCTGTTTTTACAGGACCAAAGCGTTTGCAAAATGGGATTTTCCGCGGCTCCCTGGGGAGGATAAAGGTCGTTTATAAGATCAGACCGTGGTGGCAATGTGGCACAATCGTGGCAATTTTAAAAAAGATTAGGTGATGGCGGCATAAAGGGGGTATGGGGGCGGTCTCTCCGCTGCTGAAGACTTCCGTTTATCTTGGACATAACGATCACGGCTTCAATCGCAATAAAAAGCAAGTTAAGTTTTTTTTAACAAGCAGCTCCTAAAGGTGTCTGTCCCCATCAGTCCCTGTGCAATATCTAGTGATCTGAACTTCAGCTCTAACTGAGAGGCTCATGGAGCGCTGCAATTTGCCATCTCAGCTGATTTTGTTCAAAAAGCAAACCTTATTGCCTGTCTTTACTTTTATTTTCAATAAATTTGCCAGCCGGAGCTCAGCAATAACTCCCCACGACATCAAGACATCTGCCTCTGTTGCGCCAGGGCGCATACGACAGACCATTACGCAATATTACTACCAAGCGAGGTGGAGCGAATGCCGCAAAATTTGCGCAACGTCATGCCAGCATGGCGCGTTTATAGACATACCATTGCGGTAATATTACGCTGATTTGCCGGCATGGTCTGTCTTATAAAAGAGGCTTGTGTGACATAGATCTGTCAGGCTTTAAAAATCCTAGAGTTTCACTGTCTATTTTCTATCAGAAGCTAATGCACGAGATAGGTTTAGGAGACTTTTTTCATGTTTAATCTGCACTAAAAACTAAGTGATCCATTAAAGTCAGAAATAATCATTAGAAAGATGTTTTTTCAACTTTAGGACTGAGCTCAGTCCTCCTGTTAAGAAAACTCTTTATCTGCTAGTACTTCTGATCTTCTTCCTTTGGCCATCATCCGAAACTCAGGACCAAGTGAGAGGATTAGAACTAACACTGACCGGTAAATTGAGAAGAGTTTTAATTCTAGATTTTATTTTTTTTTAAATACAAATCCACCTCAGTAAACATACATCATCAAACAATGCAGCTTTATGCGACAAAAAAACAACAAAAGACTGCTTTTAAAGTAAACAGATCTCTAATAATTAAACCATGGTTTTAAAAAAAGTATCCATTTTTCTGCTTTATGTGAATAACAGCCTTTAGAGAATACCTTTACACAGATGGCTATTCTTAAAATTCAGTGCAGCACAAACAAAACACACAAAAGCAACATTTATTTTAATCCTAATAAATGCTACTACTCACACACACACACACACACACACACACACACACACACACACTGCACAAACCTGCAGAATCTCCTCACAAAAGCGGCTGTTTTAATAAGATTCCTCCTGACGGAAGCCTCATTGGTTATAGCCCTTAGTGAAATAACCAGCAGCACTAAAGGCTTAAGAAGGATTTGAAATTTCCTTGTTATGCATTTTAATACAGTGAAGGTAGCACAGATAATTTAGTTTAAAGTACTGTTCATTTTTCACCTCTGCAACCAAGATTTTGAGATCCGTCAACCTGAATTTAGATTTTGTCAGACATGTGTACAAAGAGAAATAATTCTAATTAAAGCTGCAAGCAGCGTCGTTCAGCCCTCGCAGATCCCCACCGCTCCGGCCTGGCCAGCTGCCCGGGACACCCGGGCACGTCCGCGGAACAGAAATGTCAACCACCCCGAAACCAGAAACCGCAAACTGTCTCGTTGTCCGCACTTCTCCCTGACTCAGCATCTCCTCTGAGCCCACCATAAAATTACACATCTCACCACTAGGGGATACTCTATCCTTTCCACAACCGTGGTGTGATGACACAGACCAAGTTTAATGCTATTCTGACCACGTTTCTTGAAGTTGTTGAAGGTTAAAGTTATCTAGGGGGCGCTGTGACCAATTACAGAACAATCCCATTGAGGTCAGCTTTGGTTGACAAAGACAGTTCTCTGTTAATTTGGCGTCAAATGTTGCATGGGTCATCTAGAGCCAAAAGGCTGTAAGTGGGCGGAGTTAAAGTGATTTGAACGATTGAGCACATACATGTATTGATTGCAGTTGTGCGATGACTCCCACCATGATTGATATAGTTTGGAGCTTTTTTGTAGAAGTTACACAAGTTTTATTGTATCTAGGGGGCGCTGTCCAAAATTTAGGTTGAATATCCCATGGAGCAGTTTGTAGGTTGACAACAATCATTTGCGTGTAGTTTGGTGTGAATTGCATTATGCATGTGTTATTCAGGGCCTAATATCTGTCAGGGGCAGCGCTAAAGTCACTAATGACAACAGGATTGTGTTGTGTGCCTTTGTGTGATGACACATAGCAAGTTTGGTGCAGTTGCGACCTCATCTGTAGGAGTTATTACTGTTTTAAAGGTATGTAGGGGGCACTGTGGTGATCAGTGTTGGGCAAGTTATTTCAAAACTGTAATGCATTATTTATTACTTGTTACCCTCATTTTAAAGTAATTCATTACATTACAAAATTACTGATTTTAAAATGTAAGGCATTACACTACTTTTGCATTACTTAAAGTTACTTTCACCAAAACAATTTCAATATGAATCTGGTAATCTGTCGCTCAATGAGCTCATGACATATATGTGGAAAGTGATGTGGTGTCTGAGCTAGGATTGCTGTTAAAAACAGTCAGATATAATAACAGTGCTTTAAAATGATTGTTTATTAAATAAAAGCAACAACAATATGTACTCTCAGCACGCTGCCATCTTATAGGGCCATCTGAGCAGGAAGTGAGGTGGTGGGGGCTCCAAGCCCATATTTGCCTTGGTCCCCAAATGCCTTGATACGGCCCTGGATGTGGGACTGACTTCGGGGGTGATCTGATTGTATCACTTGTATAAATATTAAATGCTCATATATTATTGCTTTTCACTGGTAAACGTGTATATTGGGGATAAATCTACCGTAAATCCTCTAATACAGGCCCGGGCCTGTATTTGACTCAAGCTCATCAAGCTCCAGGACTTTATTGGAAGGAGGGCCAGAATTAGAGGCAGGCCTCTATTTCTATTTGAGCAAAATGAACTAATGGTTCGCTGTAGTTTTTGACAATTAAAATTGCTCCCACATTTTCAAAGTTAAACACATTTCTTTTAACAACGGTAGTTTCTGCTTCAGCCATCTCCCCCCTCCCCCTGCGCAGCGGCCGCAAACTCACTGATGC